AGTTTTCAAAAAATCATGTTGCCCATCGTAATCTACACTTGATTCTGTATATAATATGTGAATTTGGGACAATTTCATTGTCTATTGGCTACGCTAGATCAAAAATAAAAAAGTTTCCAAACTTTTGACCGCTACTGTATTGCCGCGCTGTCGTCAAGGTGCTAAAGATGAACCGTGAGGTTTCCTGTGTGTAAGAACCGGAGCATGAATCTCCAAACCTCCTAGAGAACACTTGCCCACCATGTTCGTGATTCCCTTATACGATCCCCTTACTTTCCTTTTGTTTTCCCAATTTAAGTACTTCTGGAACTGGAATGAGAGCAATTATTGCCTAGTGAAATCCATTGCTCAATCCTCGACAGCACAACTATTATGATGTCACTTGACGCGTGTCGCGTGCGCGCATTCGATAAATTTTCCTCTTCCCAAATCAGGCCAAGATAGCCAAAATTGCAAATGGGAGGAATGGCAGAACTTGGGAATATATGCGGGTAAAACTAACGTGAGCGTAGCTAAGGAAGAATATCTGGGTGTTGGTGTAGTGCTGAAGTCCTGGCAGACGCGCCTCTTCACCCTTCGTCGCAACGTATTTCTTGTAAGCCTGAAGAAAAATGTTATATAAATTGCAATTGGTGACTTTCGAGCGGAAATAAGTTAACAGCCTTTTCTCGACCACCTTGAGAGCTTCCTTGACTCCGCCATTATCGGCTATGTTCTCTCCTTGTGTCAGTTTGCCGTTCACCTTAAATTTACCAATACAGAGTAGTAGATGTCAGTTCAATTTCACTGAAAAACGAACTTTATATGTGGTTTTTGGTACAGTGTAGTTGCCGTACTGCTCAACAATACATCGTCTCCGCTCGTCAAAAGCCTCCAGGGAACGAGTGCTCCACCAGTTATGCAAATTGCCGTCCTTATCATACTGAGAACCTGAAAAGTTTCGTGGTGGTTTACCAAAATGATCGCAGGTATGCTGACAAAATCGTTGTATAACCTTGATCATCGAATCCGTGAGTGATTTCATGCCCGATAACAGCTCCAATGGCGCCGTAGTTCACAGCTTTAGGAAACGAGCCGCTGAAGAAAGGCGGTTGAAGAATCCCGGCAGGAAACGCTGAATACTTTCATGTTGTTGAGCTAGCTTCCAAAAATTTTCATTCAAAATTATGTTGCACAAAAAAGTAGTGGTCGCACCATGCAAGCTAGGTGGGTC